TCTCGGAGGCATCGACCACAGCATTTTCTTCATTTTCCCATCAAACCCTGTACAGCTCTGGGCTGTCACTGAGCGTGCTGGAAACAGTCCTGACAGCAAGTGCGACCATGCTGCATTCCTCTTTCCAGTCCTAGTTGCGTTTGTGCTCCGAGTTCTGTGCAGCAGCCTAGCTAAGGCTACGCATTCATCCCATACTGAACTCCTCTGGCAAAACACTGTTGAGGGAAAGCACGGAGCCGCTAACCTTGGCCTCTAGTCCGTTCATCTCTCTCCTCTGCAGCAAGATGTTTACATCTGGAAAGTTAAACTGGGGCCCAGTGAAAGGGACAGAGAATACTCAGGCTACCGCGGGCTTATTTCTGGTAATTCCTGCTTGGTTTTTAAGAAAATAAACTTAAGGGCTATCAGACTAGTTTCTATGCTACACTCAGCCCTGACTGGCTGTGAAAGCCGTCCTTATATTTGGAGTTCATCTGTGCCGTGGAAATCGTAGTAGCAGTGAGAATGACATAAAGACCCTTTGCACTGGGAGGTGGGCTCGGTGGGGACCTTGGCTGTACACCATCTAACCTGAGTCTGGGCTGGCACCAGTCATAATCACTGTTCTTAGATTCTGCTTCAGCATCATGAGCATGAACTTCAGAAGCCCTTTGGCCTTCCTTGGTGGAGAGGGTCAGGCATGAGGTCTCACATGCAGAGGCAGCCTAGAGAGCACTATTTCTTTAGCCGTGGCCCAGGTCCTCCTGGTATCCCCACTGGCCATTGCTGGCCAGTTCCAGAGAGGACAAGGAGTGTGTTTCTCACACTTTGAGCTGACACGCCTCCTGAGTCCTCCTCACTGCTGCTGTGGATGTTGCTCCCTGGAAAACTACTTGTGACACCCCTCCCCGCTCCCCCCACACCCCTCCCCCCATCCCACCCCCTCCCTCTCCACCCGCCCCCCCCCAAAGCTCCCCACCCCCCATAAGATAAGGAAAGAGAAAGAAAAAGGAGTTTGCCAAGAAAGCACGTGACTTTGCCAGCCTGGGAAGGTCTCAGGGTAGTTAGTGCACTGGTTTCACTTGAGCGACGTGTGCGAGAAAAGGCTTTGACACTGTCATTCAGTCCTGGCTGCACCCGCGGCAAACAGTGTCATTTTTGTACATCAGGGAGCCTTTTGGGGTCATTGGTACCGCTCGCCAAACCAGGAGAGCCCGGGCTCTAACTTAGCCTCAGGTTCAGATGGCTAATTTTGGCTTTCTGATGACAGACTTGGTTTCCAAGGCGGTTTGTGGATTCCCCGTGGATTTACGTTCTCTGTAACTCCATTCCCCTTGCATGGAAATGAGGGCAGGGGTGGGAATGTGGTTCTAGGGGAGGCTTGCTATGACTTGTTCTGGGCTCCGAGTTCAGCCCAGCAGCAAATAAATAAATAGATAAATGCATTTTAAGCAAGTTAAAAGCCATACTGTATGGTTTACTTAATCTGGAACCAGCCTGGACGTTGGTAGCGCTCAGTGATTCTGTGACACGCAGCTTGCAGCTGAAGCTGAAAATATTGAACCCTGCGTTATTGTCAATCTGATCACTTAACTGTCCACCTTACTCTGGTTAAACTATTTTCTGATTGATGGGTAGCATTATTGAGTCTGAATGGCATATCAGCTACCAAACGTAAATACTTAGCATATACACTGTGATACTTTTACAAAATTTATTTCCTAAAGTTACAAGCTCAGCCTTAACAGTCCCTCCCCCTGCATAAGATCTTGACTTCTTGGTTGTTAACTTTATGATAATCTTGGTGATAAGATTTGTTTCAGTTATTCTGGAAAGTGTAAACTCTCCCTAATATCCTCATCAGTAAGAGGGCTTGATAGAGGGCTTGATAGAAACAGTGAAGTGGCCAGATGTGGTGTAGGGCTTGATAGAAACAGTGAAGTGGCCAGATGTGGTGTAGGGCTTGATAGAAACAGTGAAGTGGCCAGATGTGGTGGCACACACACACACACACACACACACACACACACACACACACACGTAATCCCAGCACTCAGGATGTAGATGCAGAAAGATGGAGGCATTTTCCAAGGTCCGCCTAGGCTGCACAGTGAGTTCAGGACAGCCAGGGCTAGGCAGCGAGACCCTGTCTCCAACAACAAAGAAACAAGCAATCACAAAAGATGATGAGCAAGACTGTAATCCAGCTGGGCATTTGTATCTCGAGTATTTAAGGTTCCATGTTAACCTGGGAAAATCCCACATAAAATACCCTGGTGTACTTTTCCCAGAAAAACCCAAACTGTTCTATATTTTATCAACAACTCAAAGGCATGGAAAGCACTTACTGGTGTTTTCAAGGCCCCTCTTGCCCCACCCCCACCCTGACCATCACCACCAAGAAGAAAAAAGAAAGAAAGAAAGAAAAACAAAAGATGGCTTTCGCTGCAAATGCCTGCACCCGCAATGAAAATGACTTCAGCAGGGCTGGACGGAACCCAACAAGATGAAGTGGAGTAAGCAAGAGATGTACACTTCTACTTTTAGATTCAAAAGGCAGTTGCGCAACGACAGGATGGGAGCGACTGAGCTTGGCAGCAGTTCCTGTGGCTAAAAGCTTAATATGAACCCACAGTAGGAAGTGATGGCTAAAAGAGAATGAATGTAGCTGTGTGCTTCCACAGTAGAAATATTAATAGTTCACTTTACTCTGCAGTGACCACACTGAGTTGGAAGTAATGCGCCGTGTTCCAAGCGCATTCAGGAGGAACTTTGACAAAGCAGAGTGGCCATTAAGAGGGTGTTGAATCCAGTCCAAGATACATTTATGAGGCTCCTGTTTCGAGCAGGCAGCGTGCAAACCGGTACCGGCAATAAAGCTAGGAAGAGGCATTGCTGGCCACTAGCGTAAAGGACTTGGCCGTGTAAATGGAGAGCCAGACAGGTAGACACATGACTGTAAAACAAAGCAGACCCGGAGAGCAAGAAGCACAAAGAATGTGCGGTGGGAATTTGGGGGTTGGGCTGGCTGTTGGATCTGTACAGGAAATGAGGAAAGCCTGAGAGCAAAGATGTAGAGACAGGAAAACTCCAGCATGGCTGAGGAATACTGAGCAGTGTAGGCTGGCTGGAAGAGCAGGGTGAGGCAGAGAGTAGGAAACCGGCCTGTAAAAAACTTGTGGATGGAGCGTGAGGACAGTGGTCAGGGTGGAAAAGACATTGCAGTTAATGAGCCTTGGGAAAAGATGACACAGGACAACCCTTGGAGTAGGGTATTGAGTAAGGGGAAGGATGACCAAATTGCCCTGGTGGTTGTGGGTCAGATTTGCTCTAGACACTTACTTCCAGAAGGAAAAAAAAAAAAAGGTGTCTCGGAGGATAACCATGTTCCTAAGCAGAGGTTTGATGCTAGTTTTATTTGTTGGTTTTGTTTTGAAATCGAAACTGCCCAGGTGATGTACCACTTCTCCTCTTGTGAGTACCACCGCCGGGTAGACTCGGGCCTCTAGCCTGAACATTGAGAAGAATCATCATCATGATTTAATCCACGAATGAATGAAAAAAAATTGTTTCAACAATAAATACCCTTTTAGGAAGAGCAGGATATTGTTAACACAACTTTGCCACTTCTCCAACCCTCTCATTGTAATGGGCCGGCCACAGCCCTGAATCATTCATTTAAAATCCATGCTTGAATCATGTTGCTCTCTACTTTACCTGTGAGCACCATATTTCTCTTTAGCAACATCCCCCGTGCATCGCCATTGGTTGCCTCCCCACTGACTATATCACCATTGGTTGCCTCCTCATTGACTGCATCGCCATTGGTTGCCTCCCCACTGACTATATCACCATTGGTTGCCTCCTCATTGACTGCATCGCTATTGGTTGTATCTCCATTGACTGCATAGCCATTGGTTGTATTCCCATTGACTGCATCGCCATTGGTTGTATCCCCATTGGCTGCATCGCCATTGGCTGCATTGGCATCCACCCTCTTCCTCAATTCTGAGTTAAATTAAATTATTCTCTACCAACCAGCCTCAGACATCATCACTATCAAGTCAACCAAAGGTCACCTCTGGGTCTTTTCTTTTCTTCATGCTTTTGGATCTTTGGACTTTGGGTAATGTAGTTTATTGAGGAGCATTTAAGGCCAGCCTTGGCTCCATACTGAGCTCAGGACAGACAGGGCTACAGAGCCATCCTAGACCACTCCTAGGATTCCTGGTCCACTGGTAATAAATGTAGTTTGATGTAAGGAACTGTCCAATTTTCTTGGGGGAATTTTTTAAAGGTTCCTAATCACCTGCTGAAAAACCTTTAAATAAGCAAAAGGTACGAATGCCTTTGAGCACTGCAGAGCTTAAACAGCAGCCAGAGATCTAACTCTTCTCTAGAAAGCCGCAAGTAGGGAAAGTGTTGCTTCTAGACCCTCTCAGGAAACATTCAATCCATTGTTGCCCCCGTGTCTGGGGCAACAACACAGCTTTTCCTGTTACGGGGGGAAACAGGTCACATACTGCGCAGAGGACAGAGATGGAAAAGGCTGACTGGCTCCAGACCTGGGGACTGTTTCACAGGGGCGCTGATATTGCTTTTATTGTTTGGCTCAGGTAGCCGCGAGAATATAATCTCTGACTCCCTGGGTGTGTCTATTCCTTTATAGATTAGATAAGAACAATCAATGAGTTTTTAAATGCTGAGAAAGCTAATCGTAGCCAAAAGGGAGTCAGGGACCACAGCCAAGAAATAGCTGCGAGATAAAGGCGCCTACTGAACTTTTCTCCTCCACGGACCTTGTTTCTCTTCTTTCCAGTTTTCCCATCTCTGTGTTTTGTCTTTTCTCTCTTCCTGTCAGTCAATCATCCCAGCCTTAATTCCATCCCCACAGACTGAATTTGGAACGCTCTAGCTGATCAGAAAGTAGACCTGAAATTGGCTTTTAAATATGTTCTTTTAAAGAGTAAATAAGACTCATATTTAATTTAGGATGTGGATGAGTAAGGTTTATTCTGATTGATTAAAAAGTTTTTTTTTAATTCCTAATTTCAGGCTTTGGCCTTGAACTTGAACCTCAATCCCATTCCAAATTAGGTTCTGGTTCCAGGATAGTGGCATGCCAAGGAATGAGGGTGGGGTGGGAGGTGAATGAATATAGGTTTGCATGGACGCTTGTGGCTCTTTTGACCCCAGGAAGATGTACACTGGGCCTGAGCCATTGTCCTGTCTCAGCTGTTCTGCGAAGCTGGGCCAGATTGAATTGATTTTCAGTATCCATGCTGCTTTCAACTTCTATGGGGCTTTCATTCCAGTTCCTTCTCTTCTGTAAGGGCGCAAGCCTTGTGTGGGAAGAAAGAAAAAGCAATTATACCATCACCGCCCCTTGAAACCTGACATGTTCTGTACTCAACTACAGACATCCTCTGGTTAACTTTGTACAAGTGGTGCCCAGTTGTAGAATCCGCTATGGCCATTCAGTATTCTGGCAGCTAGGAGACAAACTGTCGCGGGCATCTTCATTTTTCAAAAGAGGTCTGCAGGAAGGTCTTCTCCACAGCGGGAAACACAGCCTAACCGTAAAAACACTTGGTTTGGAAATCCCATACGACTCCTCCAGTGGTTGGTTGCTAGTTGTGATCTGGGAGCGGGGAAAGGCAGAGGGGGTCCCTCAGCTGGGGCTCTGGCCCTCCAAAGACTTCCTTCCCCTCATTAACCCAGAGCCATTGACCGCCTCCGCAGGCTCATTCCGCTAGCGAATTCCCCCACTTTCCCACTATTAGGGCCCCTGGCCGGTGCCACTAGAGGCCGACCACGCAGAGGAAGGCACGTCTCCCCACTAGAAAACAGGGTACTCTCAAAGTCCGCCAGCTCTACAGGTACAAAGGTATGACCGAGCGCCTCTCATCACCCTGCTGTCCCCTCTACCCGGCTCACGCTTGTCTTTTTCCTGCTCCTTTCCGTGGTCCCGGGGTTTCTAAATCTTGGCAGGGAGACAGTGCTTCCTTTGTGCCGGACCTGTTACAATGAGGTAACCAAAGAAAGGGTCTTGGTCTGAGGCTGTCAGCTGTTACTAATCACTCTTCCCCTGCCTGTCGCGGGCCCGCTTGCCTCTCCCTCTTGCTCTGCTTAGCACACATAAAGAAGATGAATTACTCTCTGGTTCCTCTTCAAAAACAGCATATTGTGTGGCACATTCCAATATCGTGAGCAAAGGATGGGCTACTGTGAAGGGTAAATGGGTATCCAAACCACCTCACAGGGGGCCTCGCACCCACAGCTGGGAGCCTCTGAGACAAGAATTTCAGAGTTGCCCCCTGCGACCATTTCCGGTGACCTCGCTGAGAGTGACAGGAAGTCCCTGGGGTAGGGTCCAGAGTAAACAGCACCACCAGAATTCCAGGGCTGGATTAGGACCAGAATTGGAAGGGGGAAAGCGTGGGCACTCGGGGATCTCATTGCCTGAATGGCTAAGGGAGGGCGCGTCCAAGTTAAGGTTAAGCCAACAGATACTTCGGCTCTGATATTAGAGGCAGCCATATGGGCCTCAGTTTCCCCTCGCTGCCTTTTCTATGTAAAGCAAAAAAAAAAAAAATTACACCACAGCTATGGCCACAGAAAAAGAAAGAAGACTATCTGCTTAGTCCTTGCAATCTGAGGAGCAAAGTGGTTTATTTGGCTTTTTCTACCACTAATAATATCGTCTGCTCCACTGATTTCCCCCCCCCACACACACACACACTGGCCAATCTTTCAGAAACAGCGTTCCTTGTTTACCATTTTACACTTTATTTTTCTAGGGTGCACTGTAACTGAAAGATGTGTTAACCAACTTTAGAGGTCAAATTAAAAAAGCAGTTTTCCTGACAAATTATACGCCGCCCCAAGCAGCTAAGTGTTAGCGCCTGTTGCTTTCACGTGCTCACCCTTCCAAAGCTAAATGGCATTCCAGGATAACAAAACGACAGGTTCTCCGGTACGATCAGCCATCATTAGGACAGAAACTTTGGCTGCAGTGAAAAACAAAAACAAACACGTGAAAGTATTTGTAACTGAATTGGCAGAGAAAGCTGCAAAATCTCCGTCAGCCTTTGTGGAGATGATTGAACAACGCTCAGGACGGCTCATGCTTGCCATCTCAGGAGGCCGAGAGAGAAGCGTTGTCATGACTGCAGGGCTACATGGTGCTTTCTGGGTCAGCTATAGCTACATAGTGAGACCTGTCACAAAAGAAAAAAAAAGAGAAAAGAAAACTCTGGGGAAATGACTTACTAAGAAAGTTTGAGGTGCAAGTATGAGGCTAAGGACCCACGTTTGGACGCCCAGCACCCACTTCAAAAGCTGACTATGGTGTCTGTTGTGTGTTGGCCAACTATGAGCATGAGGCCTGTCCTGGACTGTGGTTGATATACCTAGTGGTAATCCACTTGACGAAACTGTTTTTCCCTGTCCCAGAGGTACCAATTGCAAATGGCTTCTTGGTTAAGCATGGGGTTGTATGTGTACTTCCTTTCTCAGTACTAAGATTTCTTCTGGGTTGAACCTATTCAGGTCTAGGGCATGCTGTCACTGTCTCTGTAAGCTCATAGGCGCAGCGGTCCTGTCCTGTCTGGAAGACATCGTTTCCTTGGGGTCATCTGTTCCCTCTGCTCTTCCGATCTTTCTGCCCTCTCTTTCACATCAGTCTCTGAGCCTTGGGAGGAAGTGCAGAGCGTTCCGAAGACTCTCCCTCCCTGCACACTGTCTAGTTATGGGTCTCTGTATGAATTACCATCCACTGCCAAAAGAAACTTCTGCTATGAGGGCTGAGAAAGGCACTGACTTATGACATATTCATTTATCCAAGTCATACAAAGGCACTGATTTATGGTTTAACAGTGTGCCATTAGAACTCATTTTATTGCTGTGCTCATCTAGCAGAATAATAGTTGTCGGGTTTCCCTTGCCCACAGCCTATCTAGCCTCAGGATCTCTGCCACTTTAATGTTGGTGGGTATGGATTCATTCTCATTGGAATGGACTTTAAATCCAATAGAAAAATGCCTAGTTGTTTTGTTGTGTTGTGTTGTATTATTGGTTTTGTGGGGTTTTTTGTTTTGTTTTGTTTTGTTTTTAGATAGTTTTGATTTGATTTTCAGGATTTTGCTTTTGCTGAGAAAGACAAAGTGAGAGACAGGAAGAATAAACATGAAGTTGGGTGGATGGAGAGGTGGTGGGAAGGATGTGGAGGAGTTGGGGAGGAGGAAGGAATAGGATCAAATATATTGTATGGAAATTAGATTTTGAATTAAAAGAACAAAGCTACTCTAGTTATATGCTCTTGTAATCTAAGTGCCATGGGGGTAAAGGACAAAGGCAAGAGGAGCTCTGGGTTTGCCGGGATCAGCCTTGTCCAGAAAACCTCACAAGCTCCGGGTTCAGTGAGAGAGCCTGTCTCCAGGGACTAAGGCAGCAAAAGAAGGCACTTGAACACCTCCTTTGCCTCCACACACTCAGACGCCCCTCACTCACACATGCATACATGCACACATACATGCACACATCACACACAGAGGAGACTACCTTCTTTGTAGACGATTCCATGAAGGGCAGTTTTTCCTTTATCGTAATGCCTGAAAGAACTGAGCAGATGAATTGAGCAGACACTGGAAATCAACACCCTGACTCCTTTGACCTGATCAAAAAAAGACGCTAGTTCTGAGGTCAGAGGAGTAGCCCAGAGTCATGGGTAACGATAGTGAAGAGAAGGGAAGACGGAGCCCCTACTGTCAGCTGAGTGGGGGTAGAGCCAGGGTTTATAAAGCTGAACTCAAAATGACAAATGCATCTTTCAGTGTGGCCTGGCACATTCATATCTGCAGGTCGGAAGCTGAAAAACATCTCCACCAAACACTGCTCATCTTTACTGTGTGTGATATCTTCTAGTATTTTCTGTACTGTTCTCTTCTGTTAACTGATTTTTAAAAAAAATACAGTCATGATCCACTAAATCACAACCTGAGAAAGCAAGCACTCACCGTTAGACCTCACCCTTTCCTGTCTGCTTTTCGTTTGCCGTCTGTTTGTTAGTTCACTCACTCTTCTGTCCAAGCATGGAAAGACAGAACAACAGCAGCTGCCCCCGTGTGCTCACCCAGAAGGATGACGTAGATCAGCCAGCAGAGAAGCTAAGACAGGAGGGTGCGAATCCTCTACCACAGAGCCGCAGCCCCGGCCCGCACCATTAGCAAGCCCAGGCTGACCCTGAACTTACAATCCTGAGCTCCCGAGTAGCTAGAGCTGACAGGTCTATACACCACCAGGCCCGATATGACACATCATTCTTTACCAACAGTTTGAAGCCTGACTTTTAAAGATTTATGCAAAGACGAATAGAATCACAGAACTTTCGTTTTCTTTACTGTTGAATCTATAAAGAGCCCAGAAGAAAATATTACAATACAAAAGATGTTTGCTAAGTTTTAGTCAGGGATTTAAGATGACTGGCTGGGTGCTCATGCCCTAACTCCACTGCCCCTTCCTCTGTGACCTTTTGACCCTCTGCTTCCAGCACCTTTGTAGGTGACTGTCCAATACTCAACAGCTGCTCAAGATACCGGGACTCATTTCTCTATCTACTATACAAGCATGAAATAAACAGTATTTTTAGAGTTTAATGTTCCTGTCTTTAAAAACCACATCACCTTGTATTCCCGTGAATACGGTACATGTTCATCCTGGAGTTCTTTGCTGTAAGTTTGCCCATCTTGAAATTCTAGGAGGACTGGAAACAGGCGGCTTTCATTAGATGCATGCTTGAGAGTGCATTGTGAAGAAGGAACGCATCTAAAAAGAACTCAAAACCGAAACAGAGCACTCTTCTTGAATCAGGAACTGCCACTGCCCTTTCTATCCCTCCTGGGCCTGGTCCAGGGGCCTTGGAAGAACAATGAAGTGTCATAAGGATACGTGGAAAGACAATTCAAAACAGAAGGCTGCTTTTGGATTTCTCGTTCCAAAACCAGAGACAGGAATCGTGAGGGAAGCAGACTGAAACATGTTCGTTTGTAAGGCATAGATTTTTTAGCAGATGGGAGAGTGGAATCCATGAAAATGACAGAACCTCGGGAGCCTGGCATTATTTATGTGCCCCTTTAAAACTTGGCTGAAGATATATTTCATTTATCCAAGTCATACAAAACATTGTATCAAAGGAAATTTAATTTACAATTCAGAGGTCCACATAGTATGCAGGAAATACGCCTCTCTTCCCCCTTCAAAATATCCCATGAATTTTTTTTGGTGCATATTTGTTGTGCTAAACTGATTACCCAAAGACTTTCTACATGGGTTAAAAAAAAAGCTATTCTATATTAACTTGCTTCTTATGGCACAAAGGTATGTGTAGCAATTTGTTAATCTTTAATAGTCTAGAAAGGACCCTGTTTAAGCTCTTTTCAGGGCTTAACTCCTTTGCAGATTGAAGGTTTTCAGGAATGGTTACTTGCACAATAATCGCTTATCGATGAGCAGATTTTTCAGAAGCAAAACCTTCTCACAATCAGAAAAATGAATGGCCCTCCTCCCTCCATTTCTACATGCCAGCCCCCCTCCTCCCTCTGTCCCCACATGCCAGCCCCCCTCTTCCCTCTGTCCCCACATGCCAGCCCCCCTCCTCCCTCCGTTCCCACATGCCAGCCCCCCTCCTTCCCACATGCCAGCCTGCTCTGGATCACATTTCCAGGACAGGAGGGAAGGTTTGCCCTGCCAGGTCAGCTCTCCTTCCTATGACTAGGACTACTCAGCTTGGCCCTTGGGCAGATCTAAGACATGCAGAGGAATTCCATCGGAGGCTTTCCATAATTACATCCCTATAATAATAGTGTCCTCCTCAAACCAAGTAGCTTGTCTCAACTCAACACAGGAAAGCTAGGGAAAGTCAACAAGGGCAACAAGAAGTGTTATGTGGGTCACCCCTGAAAGGAGGAAAACAGCAAGGTGGTCTTTCAGCAGCGTGGTTTGGATCCGGCTCCCGCGGTTATTAGCTGTGATACCCTGGGGAGTCATTCACCTTTCTGGGCTCTTATTTCTTTACCCACAAAACAGTACCAATGACATCTGCATTTTGCCACGTCCTGGAGTTAAATGAATATACAGCATCAGGACTTTATGATCAAGCCTGCGGATGAACACAGTAGTTAATACGAAGCATAGAAACAGTAAGGCATATGGTCGTACCTGGGAGAGCCATTGTGGTACTTTAAAAGAACACAATATAGGATTTCTTTCAGAGTCCAGGATGCTGGTGGCAGTCTTTGCCCTCCTACAGATGTTGAGGGGAGCTGTCAAATGAGCAAAAAGAGACCGGTGATGCCTCACCCCGGAATGTGATCTCAGCCATGTTAGATGACTACACGGCTGTCGTAACCCACTCCCATACCCAAGTGACTTCGCATCTCCCGTCGCCTCAGTGCCCTTTCCTCCCCTATATTTTAAACTAAATGACAAGAATCTACACAAACTTTCCCTCTCTAAACATTTGGGACGTTCCTGCCAAAGTTCCCTTTTCTACGAAAGTGATTTAGTACTCTAACCTTGCCCCAGCCTCTCTCCGCGTGTGTGTGTTTAGTCTCTGCTGTAGCACTTGGTCTCTCATATTTCATCATGTGGGGGAGGAGGATGGTTACAGAGTTCAGGTGCGGGAGAGGAAGAACAATGTCCTGCTTGCTTGAGGTTTGTCTTCCAAAATTCTCCCATCATTTCCCTGGCCCCACTAGTTCCGAGGCCGTTGTGTGAGGAACAAATTGCACACATCTGCCATGCTGTTTCCCTGATAACAATATATGGCCTTGTTCTTAGTAGTGTCTTTAGTTTTAGAAGCTGAAGTATTCCAGGAGCAGGAGGGAGCAAGTTGTCCTGTGTGGGACACCAGGTTCCCTTTAGGAGAAGGACTTTCGTGGAGACTTGGTTAGTGACGGGATCCTCTTTGGCTGAAATAGCAGTTTATTTTCTCTCATAACTAAAAGGCCAATATGCAGAAGTGGGCAAGACCTCTTCTTTGACTAATCATTTCATTTCTTAGCTTTTTGCTAAGAAAATGCCTTCTGATGGTTGTCTTTATCATTTCAGAATTAGTAAGTATGAAAGATACTTGGTTGTCTTTCAAAGCATTAAAAAAAAACCTATAAACCATTTTCTAAAGGTACTGTCCCTATAGCCATGGGTACTATGTTCACGTTCCCATGCCTCTCGGCAGGGGGAGGGGGAGGGGGAGAGGTATAGAAGCCTCCTCCTCTGTCTCCGCTTTGGACGCAATGCTGTCTTGACCACCAGTGTTCTCTCTAACTAGCCTGTAGGTTGGCAGTCATGGGCAGGAGCATCAGAGAAGACGTCTGAGAAGGAGTGTAAGACAGGGGGCAGAGGAAAAGAAAGCCTCCGTTGAGAGGAAGAGAACACTGTCACCTGGTACCTCCTGGCAGAGATATCAGCCCTTGCACTCTCTGAGTAGACAGGGAAAGAGCCGGAAGGATGGGGTAGTAAAGTGGTGTCCAGTCGGGCCGTCCTGCAAGAGGGTGGCCCCTTTGTGGAAATAGCATTACAATGACAGCAAAGTACAGATATTTTGGCACGTGAATCAGTCCTGAGAATGAAAATGGGGCGGGGGGGGGGGGGTGAACATGTCTACTGAGAACACACTAGCCCAGTTACAATGCAGCTGAAGCACTGAGTGGTAACCATCTCAGCAAACGGACACTTAGCCCTGGGTTTCCAGGATAAGAGGTCAAGGCCGTTCACTAAAGCCACTCAGCCTCCTCGACTGTGAGAGATGAGACTGATGGTCTCAGGGGCAACACATTCACAAAAGTGAGTCACATAAGATCTAAGTTTGTCTAAGTTTGAGTTCTCAGTGCATTCTCCTTGCTATTCACTAGAACCTCAGTCTTTAGGTGTTTATTAAGTAAATGCTTATGAAAATTATAAACGATACAATACAATTCAAATATGATTGGAATTGAAATGGAAAGTTGTAACTTCTATCCCTCCTTCAGTCCCTTTGTGTCAATATTTTAAGGCAAATTTAACCAGTTACTTAACAATCATGAAAACCTTTTTTTGTTGTTTTTGTTGTTTGCTTGTTTGTTTGTTTTTGTTTTTTGAGACAGGGTTTCTCTGTATCTTTGGAACCTGCCCTGAACTAGCTCTTGTAACCAGGCTGGTCTCGAACCCACGAAGATCCGCCTGCCTCTGCCTCCCGAGTGCTGGAATTAAAGGCATGCACCACCACCACCCAGCTATGAAAACCTTTTTTAAGTGCTTACCCTAAATATGTTTGTATAAATGTGGGCACTGATATATATCATTGAATTACGCTAAAGGGTCTGGAGAGATGGTACACGAGTTAGGAGCCATGGCTGGCCTTCCGAAGGACCCAGGTTCAATTCCCAGCACCCACAGGACAGCTCACAACTGTGTAACTCCAGCTCTGGGGGATTCAACACCCTCACACAGACACACAAAACGCCAAGACACACAAAATAAAAGTAAACAAATCATTAAAAGAAAAAGAAACATATTATTATTATCTTTTAATACATTTATGAAAGCACAACTTAAATAGTAAATAATGGGGCTGGACAGATGGATCAGTGCTTTCTGGTTTTCCAGAGGACCTGAGTTCAGTTCCCACACTGGGCAACTTACAACTGCCTGTAACTCCAACTCCTGGGAATCTAATGCCCTCTTCCGGCCTCTGTGAGCATTCACTTTCTCTCTCTCTCTCTCTCTCTCTCTCTCTATTTCTCTCTCTCTCTCTCTCACACACACACACACACACACACACACAAATCTTAAAAAAAATCTTTAAAAAACCAGTAAAGTATTCTGATAAGCTATAATTAGATTACACAATAATTAGACTTCAGTATGTGATAGTGTTGGAAAGGATGAAGAAAGGAAGTGGAGAGAGTGCTAAGGAAACCGGAGTCCCTGTGTTAGGATAGCTAAGTTAGTCTTTGGAGGGTTGATTTTTCCGTTGTTTTCCAGCCCAGCAGGTCCTGGGATGTGTCCCATTAGCTTGCACCGCAGGGAGCCCTTAAAAACCATACACCTTTTTTCACCTGGACTAACACTGGACTTCCCCTTCAGTAAACATTGAGTATGTCTTGAAATCGAGGAGAAGGGGTATTTTTAACATGTCATGAGGTGTCCTGTGGGGCAAGGAAGAGGGAGACAGGGTACAAGAACAAGGTGAACTCCACAAAATTAAATTTTTCAACTTCATTAAATGAGATGGCATAAAGCAGCAGAGATGTGATGAGAGAACTTTAGCTTTTAGAACCCAGTGTTTGCCTGGATACAAACTGAAGATAGATTGGCAAGTACTTGTAATAAAAATAAGTGTTACATAAAAGATACCTGAGAGACTCCATAACACGCATATAAAATAGTAGCTTCAAAAGAATTCAGTGGCAGCTTGTGTACGTGACTCAACACAGTGCTTGGACTTTAGTAAATGCCCACTACCCTGATGGAAATCTCTTCAAATAATTCTATACACATACTCACATACGCAAACACACACTACTCACACATGTCGGTTCCCCAACTAATAATAACCGAGGCAAGAAATGAACTGCACTTTATTTCGAGCGTTTAGGAAGCTGGTGTTCCTTGGCCCTCATGACATCAATCTGGGGTAGAGCATGGGTGATCACATGATCACTGGCAAGTTCTCACAGCAGGTATTTCTGGGAGGGGTGAGGGAAAGCGGGTATAGAAGGAAATGCTGTTCCCCTTGTCTTCCACTGGAGAATCCCTTGGATTGACTTCCTGAAAACCTTCTGTTTGCCTTCCCCAGGAATGGCGGCCCTAGATAGTAAGGCGTCAGGGAAGATGGGCATGCGAGCTGTAGTCTATTACATGACTACCACCATCATTGCTGTGGTGATTGGCATAATTATTGTCATCATCATCCATCCCGGAAAGGGCACCAAGGAAAACATGTACAGAGAAGGTAAAATCGTCCAAGTGACTGCTGCCGATGCCTTCCTGGATTTAATCAGGTATGTCCTTGTGGCCCTTCCCTGGGGTGTACACTGACCACTCAAACCCTCATATTTTGGGAAGCCAACCAAACGCTCAAAGAGGTATCTGACAGAACCAGCCCTGTCAGGCTTAACATGGAAGTCACATCTCTTCTTTCCTCTAACGGAAGTTGATATTGAGAGTCTAGCTTCCAATTTTACAGAGAAGATGTGAGATGAGCAAGAAGTGGTTGAGCCCTGCTGGTGTTGAGACCCTAAGGTGTCTCCTCTGTGCAGTTTACTCTGGACCAACTGGGTGATTATTCATGCGCTTTCCCCCAAGTCTTGCTCTGAAAGGTAGTTTTTAGCAGCGTATGACATGCTTCTCAGATTTCCGATTTAAGATGAGTGGTCTGCATCATCGTCCACGGTAAACACCAGCGTGGCACAGCCGGGACTTCTGTGTTCCTCTGACCATTCCTGACTAGAAATCCTTCTTTTATACTATTTGCAAAGAAAGGATTTGGCAGATGAGTAATGAAAAGTCAGAGGTGTTTTGTAAGCCAACTAGATGCTGATTACAATTTAGTCTTATCAGCTGAAGCAAAGTGGATAATCATCAAAGCAAGCCCAAGTTTGAGCCTGGCATTTTCCTTCTTTCTCTCTACATACCTGTCCTTGGATCAGTCAGATCCGAGCACCAAGCACACTAAATATTCCGAAGGAACTCTGAAAGTCAGCCCTGGGTGACTTTGGTAGGAGAATCAGGAGGTCGAGGCCTGCCTCACCTGGGCTACACAGCAGGACCCTGGCTCTAAACAAGCTCTGGGAGGCCCCAAAGTATAATGAGATAAGATATTTTGCCACCACCCTTGACCGTAAGGAACACAGGAAAGGAACTGTTGGCAGAGCCCAGGAAGGACTGCCGCTGTAGGAAATAGGCCTCAGCGTAGGAACTCTAATAGAAGGAGATGGAGGAGGCTTCAATCAAACTGAACAAGGCAAGGGGCCGATGGGATATGTACATGGACCTTTTTTCTCTTATTACTCCGTAAGCTGTCAGCAAACACCACTAATCAAAACCAAGAGGAGTCAGAAAAGAAGCAAATCCGTATCCTAATCCATACAGGTTAGGTCCTACGCCTCAGCACAGACTGCAGGGTGGTTCCCCGGGACAAATGGAGGATGTCCTAACCCAGGCCTTTCTAGATTCCTGTCTGCTTTCTCCCAGTATGGGGCGTCAGTCTTTCTGGTCGAAGCCTAACTTTTTCTTCCTCTTTCCATCTTACCTGCAAAGATCCAAAGCTTCCTGTGTTAGACAGCCACTCCCAAGGGTTCCCCATTGCTCGTCTGAAAGAAGCTTCCCCAAGGGACTGATTCCAAACGTCATTTCACGAGCCAGTCAAGAGACGTTTGGAGAAGAGGGTCTTCTTTATTTGTCCCCCCCCCAGGGATAAACTTGTGTCACCCAGATGTTAGCCTCACCCAACCACAATGAGACCTTTTCTTGAAAGCCTCCTCATAGAGGAGATCCCAGGGCACTAAGGGTAACAGCTTCCTGATATTTCCTGCCCAGTGAGAGCAATAAGAAAGGGACATGTTCAGGGGGGAGTTAGAGAGAGAAAAGGGAAGGGGGAAATGATAGAACTGTATTATAATTTCAAAAAATAAAAAAGTAGGATGAAGATCCCTGCAGATTAGTAACTGATAGCTATGCTTTTATTAAGTTCATGGAACTATTAAAAAAACATTTACTATGTTTAGCTTGGGTTAGGAATATTATGTTGTCTCTCTTTGTAATTTTTACCTTTGAATGCTGAGGTCTTGTCATCCCCAGCCTGTTTGGCCCATCAGAGCACTGTAAGTTTCTATATCTTTTGTCCCAGTAAAAAGTGTGTGGCTGTCCTGCCCCTCCCTTAGCTTGGGCATTTATCTTAGAAGCTCTTTGAATGTACACTTGCATCATAGTGGGAACAAAAACCCCCACAGAGCACAGACTGGAAGAAAAACAAAACAGGAGGGTCCCGACAGCAGCAAGAAAGAAACAAGCAAATATAGCCTTAAAGTATGAGTTCAATAGCATACAGTCTCCAGAATCTCAAGTTCATGAGTCATGTCTTTCTCCCAGTCTTCCGTCCTAGCATCCCACCGACAGTTTAATCCACTCCCCTCCTTAACAGATGAATCATCTGAGACATCAGTGGTGGCCACTGACTTGGCCAGTGCCACATTCCTGAGCAGGACTGTTTCATCCTCCTCAACCACCACTCTGACTCAGTCTTGGAGGAAGTGACAAACCTTGCCACAGAGGCCTCAAGTTCAAATATTGGGTCCAGCTCGCCACTGACTCCCAAAGAGCCTCAGACTCTCCAGGATGCTGTCTCTAACTCCCTGAAAGCCTGCAGAGAAAAGCGGCTTTTCTTTGTGCTATTGTACCCATAGCACAATAGCAGCATAACCACTTTGGGGTATGCCCAGAGGCAGCCACCCTGCTGATGGGGAAAGCATCTCCGTGCTCACTGATTCTTCCAAGCAGTAAGGTTTTAATATTCTAACGGCTGAAGAATCTCATGAGCTGAGAAGAGGATGTGTGCCCTGAATTCGGGGCTTCCCTGAAAGATGTGGATTGCATGGGCCATACCTGGAGCAACCATGTACCCAGTTTCGAGTCACAGTATCTCGGTTTCTCCATTTGCTACTTGATTCAATGCAGGCTTTACCTTAGACACATTGAAGCAGTATTTAAGGGACAGAGTTACTGTTGAGGAAGTTTTGCAAATGACTGCTGTTTTCTTCGCAGGAACATGTTCCCTCCCAACCTGGTGGAAGCCTGCTTTAAACAGGTAAATGCTCTCCAGCTACCAAGTCACCTTTTAAATTCTTCTTGGGGGACTGGAAAGATGGCTCAATGGTTATGAGCACTGACTGCTCTTCCAGGGGACCTAAGTTCTGTTCCCAGCACCTATGTTCTGTGGCTCACCATCACCAGTAACTTCAGTTCCAGTAGATCCAACACTTCTCCAGGTACCTGAATTCACATGTACACACACACACACACACACACACACACACACAGACACACACACAATTAAAATAATAAAAATTAAATTCCTTTTGTACATATCAAGCCAGTAGGACCCCCTTCTCTTGCTTTTTCATTCTCTAAGGTAAGAAATACCTCTCTGGCTAGCCATATGGAAGGCACCAGGATTAATGGGAAACTTAGGTGACAATGGTCCTTCACTCGTATTAAAGGTGGCCTAGTTGCAAGGCACACACATATTGCACACAAACAGAACATTTAGTTTATGTTAATTTTGAGGATTAATTGGAAGACCCTCTCTTTTCTTCCCCTCCTTGGGCTCCCATGCAAACACTCAGCAAAGCAAGCAAATTCAATTATAAATAGATGCACTGACAACTTGCCTTATTGTTAGACAGATTATTCTAGTTTCTGGGTTTGATTTAAAAGTCCCTGGCCTACTTATTATGAAGAGCCTTAGGTAGTCTAGAGAGAGGAGCCGTATAGGAAAGGAATGGCGTCATCGCTTACGGAATGCCTGCTGTGTGCCAAGCACCAGTGTTATCCTTAGTCTTCACATGAACATGACGAGTAGCTCTGTCTTCACTTCACCCATGAGGCCGCTCATTTATGAGGATGGGAATTGTGTAATAAGCACAAGCTCTCGCAAGTCATAAACGGCAGACCCAGAATTCGGATCCATGCCTTCTCTCCTCTCCTTACTGCTCCTGTTGCTTCCTAGAAAGCAACCCAGAGATTCCACCTGGAGGCCAAGGTGAGGTCCAGCCCTCTCTTCCTCTTAGCTTAGCAGTTCTTGGCTCTCTACTTGGTGGATACAAATATCTCCCAGTATTGGGAAATGCTAACCTCACTTGATTAGAAACACTCTACTGGCCAAGCTACACAAGGGGAAATAGATAGTAGATTAAATGCTGCTTCCCAAACACTCTCCTATGTGGTGTCAATTCACCTAGCCATTCTGCTTGGGACATACAAAATAAAAATCAAACCCTTACCTCCTAGAGAACTTTACATATGTTTACATGTGTAAGACACCATCTTTCCCCCTTTCTTAATGCACAAGCAGATTGCAAGATCAAAACATATTCCCTTCTTAAAAAAAAAAAAAAAGGAAGGAAGGGAGAAAGCAAGCAAGCAGTAGAATGTAGGAGGATCACAAACACAAGGCTATCTTAGGCTCCAGAGTGAGTTCAAGCCTACCCTGGATGATTTAATGAGGCATTGTCTCAAAGCATAAAACAAAGGGCAGGCAAGATGGTTTAAAGCTGGTCAAGGCATTGTCACCAAGTCTGATAACTTGAAGTCAATCCCTGGGAGCACATCCTGGAAGGAGAGAAATGACTCTCCCAGATTGTTCTCTGACCTCCATATGTGCACCATGGCGTGTGTCCCTAACCCCACTAGATAAACAATTGCAACCAAATTTTAATTGAATGTATATGTACATGTATATAACAGAAAGAATGATGTGGGTACAGTCTAGGTGTAGAGAGTTTATAGAGCACATTTAAGACCCTGAGTTTAGTTCCCAGGACCACAAAAGAAAATGTTCAGGCAGCCAAAAATCTAACCTCCTTTATTCAAGAACTGCAGTCACAATAAAGACTAAATCTCTTTCAATCCAACAAGCCCACCCAGCATGGTGAGTCTCTCTGTCTGAGCTGGCAATGGATGACATCAAAAATGCTGATTTCTAGATCCGTTAGATGGGGGAAGTGATGACCTTTACAGGCTTGTGTTTAGTTCGGGTGCATTTGCAGGGCTGTGAGGGGAAGCAAATGTGTCACCCTAAGGTCTATTTACCTTAGACTAGAATGCAAATAAGGTTTCTGAGGAGGCTCTAAACTGTGTCCAAAGGTGAAGAGTAGAAGGCTTAAGACAGGATGACCAGGCTGAAAATGTACCCTGGAGAATCCACAGAATTTGCAAATGCTGGAAGGAAGAGACTGAGAGTTGTCGGTAAAAGGACTATATGTGTTTTGAAAGTGACCAGCAATCCCCAGCATTAACAGCTCCTTGTTTGGAGATAGTGGTTTTCCAATAGACTAGAAAGTCCCCTTCTCATTCTTGATACAAAAGCAGCCAAGCACTTCATGTGCAACCATGCCTTCCTTCCTGGATTCGAAACCCAGTCGCCACTCACATGCCGTTGCTTTATTTAATACCAACGCTATCAAGGCCAGGGTAGCAATTTCATTTTTCTGGAGATCACAGGGGAACAGGCTTCACTGTGGCCATCCACAGCAATGTTCTCAGCACTTGCTGACTGGAACTTCTCTGCAGGAAATTTCCTGTAGGGAAAGAGCATGGCTTGGCTTAGGAGAGATGGAACAAGAAGGTTATCATCTCCAATTACCAAGCAAGGAGCTCTTAAGAATAGGGACTTATCGAGCAGGAAAGTCTTGACGACCAGGTGTTTAAGGACTTTTCTTTCCCGTTCTCTGAACTTTCTAATCCTGAAGGGCATTGTCACTGGACAGCCTTAGTCGACAGTAATGTCGTACGTTACGTTTACAAATTGGTGTCCCTTGTGGTGCTTAATTTGGTCATTGCCACAAGCCTGTGAGGTGAAAATCAGTGGTTCTCCTGTTTCACAGCTGTGGGATATGAAATGAAGGACGGTAAGTTATTTGTGCATGGTCTCCAAAGAAGACAAAAGGACTTGCGACTATTTGAGCCTGTGATGCTTTGAAAATCTCATAGTCATTTACTAAGATTTCGGAAGAAAGTAAAGGTCCGTGTGTATGTCAATTCTGACATCTTCAGCTGGTATTCCCTCCTTACCACAACTTGTTACATATTTGAGTGTATATGTGTGCGTTATGATTCATATGTATTTCAGTGTGCTTGTCTGTGTTGAGAAACAGTGATTTGCCACAAATGAAATAGGTGATACATAGGTAGGTATATATAACATGGTCCTTTAAATACAAAATAAGATATATCATGATAGGAAATTTGGACAACTGGGAAGTATAAAAAGACTAATAAATATCAGTTGATTCCTGCTGTGCTTCTTATTTTAAGTTCAAAACCAGCTATGAGAAGAGGAGCTTTAAAGTGCCCCTCCAGGCCAACGAAACACTCCTGGGCGCCGTGATCAGCAACGTGTCGGAGGCCATGGAGACCCTGACCCGGATCCGGGAGGAGATGGTGCCCGTTCCCGGGTCTGTGAACGGAGTCAATGCCCTGGGCCTCGTTGTCTTCTCCATGTGTTTCGGTTTCGTGATTGGAAACATGAAGGAGCAGGGGCAAGCGCTGAGAGATTTCTTTGATTCTCTGAACGAAGCCATCATGAGGCTGGTGGCGGTGATAATGTGGTACGTATTCCTGTGTGCCTCCTAGCTGTGTACGAGATGCTTATTGCGATGGCTGTGTCTTCTGTTCTGAGGAAGATGCCACCGAGCCAGACGGATGGTTGCAGGGATCCTTTTCTGGAAACCACAGGAGAGTTGGTGTTTTTCTGGCACTGCAGAGGCCCTGTACTTCCTTGTTTTGAAAAGGTTCGGCTTCCTTACCCCTTCCACCCACTTTACACGTGCTTAGTTATTGAGTTTGTACTCCTCGATAAGAAGAGGGACCAAGCATACCAGCCTCAGCAACAGAGAGCGGACGAAGGTTCACTGGATGGATTCACACACTTTTGGTTTTTCAAGATAGGTTTTCCCATTACCTATAGAGCTAGTGCTGGAACTCACTCTGTAGACCAGGCTGGGCTCAAACTCACAGAGATCTGCCAGCCTCCCCAGTGCAGGGATTAAAGGTGGGCACCACCACTGCCCGGCTAGCATGTCAGACACTTTTAAGGAAGACAAACAATGATCAAGCACATAAATATCATATTCCTGAGTCATAGGTGCGGTGAAAGAAGCAAAGGGTGAGAAGGCGTGCCATTTGCTTGGGTGGTACAGAAAGGCCCAGGGTGGCTTTTTTTTTTTTTTTTTTTTTTTTTTTTGCTCAGATCAGAATGACTAGGCACATCCAGTTGTACAAAAAGAGCATTCCCAGTAGGAGAAAAAGCAATCGCGGGCCCTGGATCCTTGGGGAAGGACGCGATGAGTTTCCCCTTCTATTTGAACCCTAAGAAAGAAATGTGTGTGGCATAGCTGTAGCAGTGTATCACAAATAATAAAAACCCAGAGAGATATATTCTTATTCATGCTATGTAGCAGCCTACAGAAGAGCTCACAGGAAGTATTATGGGCTGCTAAGGCACAATTTATAACAGAACTACCTTTCATAAAATTCAGAGCAGAAGACAAAAGAAAGGCTAAGTCCAAAGGGGAGAACATTGACTTTGGAAAGTAAACTATCCCAGCAGGGACAGAGCCCCTTGCTGGCCTAGGCCTTGTGTGGGAGTTGTTTTTCATTCATCCTTTATTTTTAATAACTAGGGTCCTTCTTGGCACCTGGGGCAGGAAGGCATCCATCGCTATGAAAAGCATTCACTCAACCAACATGATTAAAAATATCCTTTGTCTCCAATGCCCCCAAAGCCCATAGAAATCCACTTCTTAGGAGTTTGCAGAAGATGAATATGAACTTGGCACAAAGACAGGTCAGAATGTGGTCCCCAGAGGAGCCTTCACTTGGAAGGCCCCTTTGAAATCCTGGCCGGGCTGAAAGTGGACATTTATCTTCATATTATTAAAATGCCTCCACCTTTCACCCCCTTCCATGAAAGGAGCCCATTCAAGGCCACTGAACGAACCTCACATGGAGCCTTTCTAGTTCCACGTTCGCCTACACGCTCCGCATTGAATTATTGCGTTTCTGAGAACAGGTACTTCTGTGATTTCCTGGCCTTTGAAAGGAGCGTTGTATTTCTTGGGTTGTAGCAAGTCCTCCGCAGTTCCCAGCAGACCCGTCTCCTTCAGGGTGATTGGCTTCTGTCTTTGGCAGTGTGTTTCATTTTAGCTTAGTGCACGCATCACACAAAGGGAGTCGAAAGTAGACCTTTGAAGAAGTAGGGTTAGTCCAGCATATAGGTGTCGCTGGCGGGTCATTTGCCCATTCTTGCAAGGGAGTGTGAGTAACAGCCTGTGGATAATTACTTAATTTGAATGCCTATAGCCTGACCGCAGTCCGTACATCCACACACTTTATTAATTTTAATAGCTTAGGCTTTATTTTATGGTCTTCTATTTATGGTAAGTGGTACTAGAATTTAGTTTGCATAGTAACATAAAATTTCCTGTGGAAGGAAATTGACTTAAGTATAAAAGGTGACTTGAAGAAAATCCACTAAGTAATATTTTAAGTGGGATGTAACTACGGAAGAAAGCAATAAAATGGCCCTAGAGCAGAGGTTTTTCAACCTTCCTAATACTATGACCCTTTAATACAGTTCCTCATGGTGTGGTGACCTCCAACCAGAAAATTATTTTCATTGCTACTTCATAACTCTGTTTCGCTACTGTTATGAATTGTCATGTGAATATCTGTGTTTTCTGATGGTCTTAGGTGACCTCTGTGAAGGGTTGTTTGACCCCCTAAGGGGGTCGTGACCCATAGATTGAGAAACACCGCCCTTGAGTAAGAAAGCTGACTACATGACCACTGGCACATGCATGGCTTAGCATACCTCCTGCTTTAGCTTGGGAAGCAGGCTGTGGTATGGAAAGTGTTCTGAAAAGTATGGGTATTAGTGTAGTGGTTTGTTTCAGGTGCCTGGCAGGAGTCAAGAGGGAAAGGGAATTGCAGGCATCTGAAGATCCAAGCAGGGACTCAATTGTGTCTAGGAAAACGGAGATGAGGACCAAAAATTCTTCTCCTTCCTAGGGTCTAAGGCCAGTGGGAATGGGGTGGGGTGTCCTAGAGTGATTTAGAAATAGCAGAGGAATTATGTGTTTTAAGCAGACAAGAATGAGAGCTGTAGTCTCTGCAGGGCTCAGTTTGGAAATTCCCTGTCTTTCCCTCTTTGGCTTTTTTTTTTCCTCCCCTGCTGGGTAATTGACAAGCAATAACCTATAGGGATCAAACTTCCAATGGATCCTGTGCTGCTTCCCACAGGTATGCACCTCTGGGCATCCTCTTCCTGATCGCAGGGAAAATTGTTGAGATGGAGGACATGGGTGTGATTGGGGGGCAGCTGGCCATGTACACAGTGACAGTCATTGTTGGCCTCCTCATTCACGCCGTCATTGTCCTGCCCCTCCTCTACTTCCTGGTCACCCGGAAGAACCCCTGGGTGTTCATTGGAGGGTTGCTGCAAGCGCTCATCACAGCTCTGGGGACCTCCTCAAGGTATGTGTGTGTGTGTGTGTGTGTGTGTGTGTGTGTGTGTGTGTGTGTGTG